TGTGTGTGTGTGTGTGTGTGTGAGTGTGAATGGTTGCGATTAACTGGCAACCAATCCAGGGCATAGCCCACATATGGCCCAAATTCAGCAGGAATAGGCTTGCGTTCACAACAACTGACTGAGGATAAGTGCGATAGAATATGCCATGTCTGCCATCCTGCAGTCCCTGAAAATATTGACTCCAGAGCTGCAGCTTGGGGTAAAACTCATCCATAGGTCGTAAGTGGAAAGAAAACAAACAGAACGGAAACCATTTTTTAAGAAGAAAAACATTTATTTTATGATATAAAACAGATGGGATATGAACATTTGTCAATTAAATCTAGTCTGTAATCACATGTTGGATACATGCTCCCATCCTGCTGTACCAAGATCATTATATACATATTCAGCCTCTTAATTACACTTTGTACAACTGAGAAATATTAAACCAGTATCCACAAACTTTTGGGTTAATTATTGCTTTTTAACGTGCTAATATCTTCTTTTAGTTCTAGGCCTACAAAAACCTACGTTATAAAATAGAATCAAACGTAGATTTTTGAAAAATCTCTCTTTAAATATAACTCTCAGCAATTACAAAGAAACAAGAAAAGTCTTGAGAGACTTAGACCATAACATTCAGACACGAAGTTGTCAGTATTTTAACACGGACTGCAGGCTGTCATTTTAAATAATTACAACTTGTGAGAAAAATGAATCGCATTAGTCAGAAGTACCAAAGTGGGGCTTCCCTTCATTTTGTATTTTTTATACGCTCCCCTTAAAAAAACAAACAACAACAAAAAAACGTTTCCCCAGTAAATGCTTAAATAATAACAGATCAACCAAAAGAGTGACAAATGCCTGTTAAACTCTATAAATAATTTTACAAAAGGGTAAAAACTTTCCAAGGTTCAGAACAACAAAGCAAAGTGTGAGTACCAAAGAATTGAAATGTTATCGTGGTGGTCACATAAGGGTGCTTCAGATGTCACAATTATAGCACGCACGCACACACACACACACACACACACACACACACACACACACACACACACACACACACACATCAGTTTAAGATTGCGCGTGGCCATGGGAACGTGTCCACCGTTATTTCCTTCATGTGTATGTTTTGACTGATGCCAGAGCTTGTGCTGTGGAGAGAAAGAAAAGGTTAAGTCAAACTTGACGTGGATGCAGAATTTCTAAATGTCAGCCTCCTAGTTACTCCAAAAAGACAAACAACATGGCGTGGCTAACGCCGAAAACAACACTGAGGACACTCGAGCGTAATGAGTGTGGACAAAAAACAACAGGTGATGAAGGCCCTTACTGGTGCTACTACACACACATGAAGTGAGAACCGTCAGCGAGCTGAGGTGGGGTGTTAGGAGATGGCGGGAGGGTTGGGGAAGATGGCGACGGGCTTTTCACTGCAACATAACACAGCAATATGTTCAACACCACAACACGCCCCCACCCCACAAAAAAAAGGACAGAACACACTATGAAAGCTTGAGACTAAACAGTCAAACCACATGCACATCACATCAACAACAAAATAATTCCACTACATTTTCAGTCACTGCATAGTGTAGAATTTTAGTGAATTCGAATGAGTAAGTGACGAAATATTTCTTCTGAACAAAAATGACAAAAGCATTGACACACACATTAGGTGTTGGGTTGGTTTCCTAAAGTCGGGTGCATATACGGTGAATCTAGCCCAATTTCAGCATTTTTCCTGTCCTCTGACCAATGTCAGCAAAGGCCTGGATGACAGGACTTTGCTCCCAACTTTGTGGCAACACCTTCAATGGTACTTGAATTCACAAATAGGGGAAAATTTCCAGTAACAAGTGCTCAAATCATAAATGACTCCAACTTCACATTTGCTTCCGTCTTCACCTTCACTATGGGTTGGTCCCAGGTGTGCCGATACTTTTGTCAATTTTTCTGTCGTGCAGTTGATGATAGCAGACAAGCTACAGCTCCTAGTGGCGACTTTTCCATGAACACTTCAGCCACACCGACTGGGCTGTTTTTACCAGTTACACAGATGTGCATTGGCAACTATTGGGCCAAAGCACACGTGAAAGAGGATCACGTGTGTCTGAGTGTTCAAGCTCTCAATGTATTTGTAGCTGACTCCACATTTGTTTCGCATCTGCATCCCTCGTCCATCTCCGAGATCCCGTTTACGTATTTATCATCTACCGCTTCCAGCACTAATCACAGCCACGGGTCGGACCACGGCCCGGAAAAACATGAGTGATGGACTGCCGCTTATAGCCATTGATGCGCGGATGCTTTCAAGTGGGCAGCTGTGACGCCGCGGTCGTGCTGGGCTGAAGTGGTCATTCCAAGTCAAGACAGCATGTACGGTATATTGAAATGGAAAAGTCGTTTCTGTCCAGAAATCATCCATAACTACATTCGTTAGTCTACTTAAGGAATACCCCCACAAATGTAACATGCTGTTCATCGACCAGCCAGATTTAGGGATGATAAATGTGAACAATGAGGATGGTAATGAGACAACTAATATCCACTCATGATTTGACGCCCTCCTCATGTCGTCTTCTGTTTGCAACCTACCTGCCACCAGCTTGCTACGTTTGGAGGCCTCTGCTGCAAGCTCGTAAGACATATTGATCATCTTCTCTTTCTCTTGGATGGTAATCTCCTCCTCTATCTCCACTGGGCTTAACGCTACAGTAGGCATCGTATTCTGCATGCTAGAGAACATGTTACAGTATGTGTTAAATGTACAACAAAAAAAAAAGGAAACAGATTGTGATGGAAATGAGGCAAGGCAAATTTCTACGTACAGGAATCACAGGCAAATTGAACAGAGGAACTGAATCTAATGTGAAAAAGTTCAAGCAGAAGTCTCCACAGTGAGGAATTTTGTATTTACCTGTTTTTGGCTATGAGAGCTTTGATGCGGTCAACTTTCCTCTGCTTGTCAGCCTCCTGCTCCGGGCTAAGCGCCTCCTCCGGGTCCGACTCCACATAGCGTTCAGGTATCAGCACTTTGTCAGGCACAGACAACTGCAGCAAGCAGCGAGAGAGAGACACGCACGTGTGATGCGTCTGTCAGTGATTTCCAATCATTTGGCTGTGGAGGTTATAAAGCGCCAGAGTGATTCAGCCTTACTTCCCGAACCACATTAAAGCGGTCTGAATTTGAGGCCTCTTTGAGACGTGCGATTTCCTCGGCGGGCGTCTCCTGCTCCCTCACCACCTCTTGCTGCCTGAGCGAGGCCTCGAGCTCCAGGATGTCTGTGCTCATCACATCTTCTCTGCGCCTCATTTGAGGCTGCAAAATATTCAGAAAAGAACACATCACAAAAAAAAGGAATAAAAATGAACCAAGCATTGATCCGCTGTCCTCCTTTCTGTATCGTACCTGCACATTGCGTGAATGGTTGTCCTTAGTAAACGAATTGTTGCGGGACAGCACGTTCTCCTCGCTGCTACCGCGAATGCGAACGCCCTTTTTCTTCTCCCTGAGGGCACCCTGCTGGTGGCGACGAATCCTCTCCAGCTGCTCCTCCACGCTCATCCTGGGCCGACCGCTCTCCAGCGCACCCAGCTGATGCTCCATGGCGCTGTGAGGACGCTCCTGTTCATTGCAAAATACAACCATGAGCATGGATGCACATTGTTTCGGGTGTAAAAACTGTTTACAGTTATAAAGCATAATAGTCATGAACAAAACTCTTCAGATAGAATGTCATCTCACGATGCATTGGTAGCCCCCTTTTCACTCTCTGCTAATTCCATCAATATTTTGGATAGGGGAGGTCGTGTCAGAGCTGTAGCATAGTCAGTTATCTCACAGACACTGGTGCTGATGTAGTGTGGATTTAATCATTCATTTATGCATATTTATGATTGCAGTTTGCCACAAGTCATGTAGGGGACACCGCAAACTTGAAAGAAGTTGCTTTGGCCAAATGAGACCAAAGTTTATGGCCTAAATGCAAAGGGCAATTTCGGCGTGATGGAAAACAAACATCGCTCATCACCCTCAACACTCCGTCCCCACTGTGAAACGGGGCGGTGCCAACATCATGATGTGGGGTTGCTTACTTTTTCAAAGCACTGAAATTTGGATGATAAAGCAGTTAATTGAGTTGTGTCTCAATACATTTGCTGAGCATGTAGTTCAGGTAACAAAAAAATATATCCACAGTAATGGTGGCTAATGGGTCTTCAATGTCCACTCATGCAGAAGGGAATGAGTGCTTTGGAAGCAACCTGAATGAATGGCTGCTATGCACTGGCACGCTTCTACTGGCACAAGGGTGTGCACTCACGGAACCCGAAGGGCCATTTAAAGCCCGAGCATGAGAGGCTGACAACGTGGAGTTGTTCACTCTGTGCTCCGCGCCACGCTAGAGGGAGCTGCTAAATCTGGATTCCATCCAGGGCTCCAGGATGCCGCAGCTCCTGTCCAAGGGGCTGGTACCCAAGGGCCTGAGTTGAACTCTGCGAGGAACTCTCTTACCACTGCAGGCTATATTTTTAACTAGAACAAAGCCTAGACAGTGGGCAGCAGACAATTTACAAAGACGATCTATTTTACATTTCTATTAAAAGCCGGTCTTCATTTTTCCAAACAGATATGTAGAAACACAGTAGGCACGAAAGGAGGACACACCCTGCCATGTGGCACACTAAATAACACAGTTGGTATATTTGATAGTGGGTGGAAACTATATAAACCGAGCTTCTCATTCATTTTACAAGAGGCTGTTTTGGAGTGGGCTGGTCACACCCAGGCCATGTGTTGAGTGCCCTACTTGCCACGCACAAGCTTTCAAACCTTCAGCTTGATGACCACAGCAGGCAGTTAAGAGGCTATTGTAAATCATCAAGGGCCACAAAGACTCACAGAGGGGAGGGGGAAAAAAAACATGATCAGAGCCAAAATGATTCAATAATATTTTCTATTACTTGTTTTTGTGCATACAAAAATATGGAGAAAATAGACAGTTACCCAGTAAGTTTAAATATTTTTAGACTTACCATTCTGGAGTCAGGCTTCTTACTCTTCCTTAGAGTAACATATGAGGCGATGGAGGATGATTCAGGCACTGGGGATTTGGTTCTAGGTGGAACAATGCCTACTGGGTAGGACAACCCTGGAGAGCAGAAGACGAGACGAATAAATGTGTGGCCAAAGTACAAACATACGAGTTTCAATCATGCAGTAAACTTGTATAAACTTTCTGAACACAGAAAATGTGGGGCAACATACAGCTGGTAAACAGTTCAATAATGACAAAATTGCAAATAATTCAATAATATTTGGTTTCTATATTATATATTCAGTCCAATGCACAAAATCCAACAGGACACATAGGAGAACATCTCAAATGTTGCCGACTCAGCTTGTCATTAGAAGGCCTGACTTCTTTTTTTTTTTTAATCTTCACTGTAAAGTGCTACTTATGTAAAACCAAAGACGACCGTAAGAAGTGCCAGTGAGAAGAACTTTTTTTTTTTTTAAAGGCCAAATGTCATCTAATTATGACATCAATTGGTTGCTGTCTTTGGCCTTAAGTGCGGCGTGATACAGCACCGTACCTTTGTTTGCGGGATGGTCAGGTGGGTGTTCAGTCCTGTCCTCTCCATTGTTCTCATCCACTTCAGCTACCGTGGTGAGCTCTGGTTCACTCTTGTACAGTCGGTAGTCTGGCCCCTGTCAATGATTTATAAACGGCTGCTTCAATACCAATTGAGAATGCAAAGGCTTTATCAAAGTCACGACAAGTTCCAAAGCAAAGGGAAAAATGGTGATTTTCTTCCATGGAATGGCTTCCAAGATGGGGACAATTAAGATCCTTGATGCTGCTCTGCGACACAGTCATTTAAAGGTCAACTGTGAAGTAATTTGATAAAATCCCAAATGGTGCCACACATAATTCAACAAAATACATTAAGTAAAGCAGGAAAAGAATTATTTATTTCTTAAATCCGACAAACAAACGTTTTCCCAAAGTGTGATCCTGCCGAGCGACAAAACCAAAAGTGTGACATCACTCAGACAAGAATAGCGGGGTTCTCGATGGAAAGTGTACAAAGCCAGTCAGAAATCTATTCGGAAAGGACATTTGAAACTTATCTGAGGGGGATTCGATGCTGTGCCGTGCTGTAAATTGCGTTTTAAATAGTTTTAGCTCTCGGTATTACTCAAAAGATGGTTGGCCAAGTTTACTTCACTTTTGACCTATAAGCAGTCTTTTATAGAATTTACAGGAAACAATTCCATGTTCTATAAGACGGACACAGTGTTGTACAGCATCCTGCGGACACATTCAACCCAGGGTGACTTGCAACCAAAGAGATGACAAGAAAAGCTGTCAATGTTATGAAAAAAGAAATCTGCAACACAATGAGAAATCAGGCTTCCTTAAACTAGATCTGCCCTCAAAAAATGGAATTGCGAAATCAAAAGAGGATGTTATCCAACAAAAAATAAGGATCGACTCAAAATAAAAGAGGAAAAAAAAACATCTACACAGCAGGCGGTGACACAGCTGCAGGCAGTCAGCGGGTCAACAAGCTTACGCTGTGTGTGCCATTCTTCTGATTGGTCTTCCTGTCTTCTGGCCTGTGGAGGGATGCTGAGCGAACTCCGGCATGAGGGGGAATTGCGGGGGGATTGGGCTCATATGACTGGGGCAAAGGTGGCCGTGGGGGTACAGAGTCCTCCTGGGGATTATACAAGGCATGACAGGCAGGCAAGGTGACACTGGACGCCGCCATGCACGGGCTGGGTGACCTTCCATCCGATCCAGGCTCGTTTCATTAACTGACGAGAACGCCGCATTCTCTTGTCGCGTGAGCGACACCGTCCTGCATACTCAGGTGCTCATTTGAGACTGCCTTTATTTGCACAAATGCCCTTTCACAATTATATTTTGTACTTGGGTTTTCAAAGCTTGTTTAAATCTGAATTTATAAGTACTCAACAAATTACAGTAACAGTCAAACATTTGACTAGTACTGTTGTGTTTTGGGATTACAGTCCAGTTGACTCCCAAATACTCGAAGTCACCACACGCAGACTTGTATATTGGTGGATTTTTTTCCCCACTATTTTAAAATATTTGTTGTTTGTTTTTGTCTCCTTTGAGTTCACTGAGTTATGCAACTGTGAATTATTATGTATTAAAATGTCAAATGTCATGTTGGTACCATCGTAAACTGAGGACCATTTGCATATTGCATTCCATTTATCGAAAATATGAACTGTTGAGCACCACTTGCTTTATGTGTTTTTTTCACAATGGCTCACCTCTGTTTTCTGCATGCCGAGGTTGGGCCCATACAAGGTCATGGAGCCATCAGTGTTCCTCTGCTCTTTATGTTTATTGAGGACCTCCATTACATCTTGGATCCGCCACAGCTCTTTCTGGATGCGCACGTGCTGCTGGCTGGGAGGTTCAGTCTGTGAAAACAGTGAGAAAATATTAGGCCAGAATTGGGCCCAGCAGATGAGTCAAATTGGGAGCAAGGTTATTGACTGAAGAATAAGTTCAGGAAGTTCTACTTTTACTGTCTGTCAGCGGGACAGATTGTGTGACACGGTGCTCGATAAGGAGCTGTTGATGCTCCCTCTTGGCCCTCACTTCCTAATTAGCAAATGAACTGAGTCAGGTTGAGCCAAGAATAAACGTGGGAAGACAAAAGACTCCAGCATCACACCACTCATCAATCTTTCCTCTCCGAGTTACGTCTAGCGGTGATGGTGGTGGAACAGAGATATTTATTTCGGAGAATAAAGTAGTGACGCTTCAGTCAGAAGAATCCTACCTGTGGGCTTCCCAGTGCTTCGAGATGCTCCAGCAGGTTGCTTTTTGCAAGAATGACAGCTCCTTCTAAGTGGTCATACTCGCGCCATGACCGCTCCAACTCCTGGTTTGGAAAAGCCAGATAATGTTTACCGCCCCCCCACTCAGAAAAACATATTAGAAAGGATTTAGGATAGCATTGATGGCCTCACAGTTGTGACCCGGGTGAGCTCTCTGCAGGTGCTGAGCAAGCCGCTCTGCAGTAAGTCTCTCTGTTGGATGACACTCTGCATGGCAGCCGGGTCGTCTGAGCCCAATTCTATCTCCTGGCTGGCCGACAGCAGCGCTGTCTCCAAAGTATGCTGCAAGGAAGACACAAGTCATCAATTACAAGACCTGCCGTGTTGATGAGCTATATTTGGAAAAGTTGGGACGGTAACAGTGCAAATCTTATTCGCGGTCGTTCTCGTACATTGACATGTACGTGACAATATAAGCAGTGTGTTGACATATTTAGTTCAGTGCATGTTTAGAACAATGTACATTTGCTATTCAACAAGGAGACACAGCTCACACGTGCATTTCAATGGGATGAATATGCAACAGCATGACATTGTTTATTTTACGCGTTAAACCTTTTTGCATGTCATTCATTCACTGATCACTAGTGAAATGTTTGCTGACATTAATTCTAACTTGGATGCGTTTGTCCTCCGGAGTCATGTCTTTTCATCTCTTCCATCCCACACAGACCCAAATAGAACATACGGTCCCAAATGTCAAGGGCTTTGTATAAATTCACGTTTGGAATTTTTTTTTTTCATTCCCCAATATGTTCAAATAAAAGCATCGCATTGAAATAATTCCACTGCTCTCTATTTGCCTTGATGGTGTGCCTTAAATATTGAAAAAAATCGACAGAACCTTCTCTTTCTTTCACCAGGTGAAAAAAAAAAAGCCATATCGAGTCATTCAGCGGTGAGTCACCTTTTCTCTGTACAGCTGTTGAAGGTTGTCCTCGTGTGTCCTCACCACCTTATCCTGCTCACACAATCGGCTAAGTTTGGTCTGAGACGAAAACGATACAAAGGTCATGACCCTCCATGTGTCGCTGAACACAGCACATCATTCGGGAGTAAACCTGAGCATACATCAATGTCCCCCTCTTCTGGCATGTAGGTGTGTTCTTTAGGGTCTTCTGGACTTAGCTGTGAAGTAAAACGGAACATTAGTCACAGTCTTATCATGCAGTAGGCAATACTGTCTAAAACACCAATGTAGCATTATTAGTCGTCTCATTGGGCCATATATTTTTAGAGTTGGAACTCAGAATTTTGGTGAATCAGACGTTACCCATTGAATAACAGCCATTTGTCTCCCTCGGCACAACACAGCAGTGGTTTATTAGAATCATACGGTGATGGCATGTTGACAATCCTAATGAGTAAACCGCAAAGACAGCGTTGATCCAAGCAATACATTTGTGTTATTTGCTTAGTGCTTATATGGTATTATTCCTACAAACAGGTGTGACATCTGGCTGGTCAGAAATACATCCTGAGGAGAGTTCAATAAAGCTTTTGCATGGTATCATTCATGCACTATATAAACAATAGCCAATTTTCTATTTGCATTTAGTTCCAACTATCATGAGCCCATTTAAACTCTCGCAGACATTGATAGGATCATAAATTTGTCATGTCAAATTCCAAGAGCGTTCCAATTAATCCACTGTGGTGGCTGAGGGAGTTCAAACTCCAAAATACCCACAGTACTGTATTTCAAATCAATTCCACGCTAATATTTCCACTTGAGTAATTCACAGTTCTTACTTGGTTGGATCACGCGCGGCAGATAAACCAGGATGTGAGAATATACCTCACACAACATGCAGACTGTCACATGAAGTGGCGGGTTGCAGGGTGACAAGTGTGACAAATTGCTCGCAGCTGAACAGGTGACAATGCAGCTGTTGGCTCGGCCAATATATGAATGAATGCAAACTGGGTGAGAGACAGGGTGTCGGGGCACTGTGTAGCTGCAGTGATCAGCCCTCCCAATCTCTTCGGACACGCCCACATAGCGAGACCGATGATTGTTCCGCCCCCACCCTCCCCTCCCCATAATAGGGAATTCTAAATTTAACAGTAAACGGCCCACACATGATTCCGACTATGGGGAAGACCACATTGTACTTCTCTTTTCCAAGCCATGTTCTTATTGCCATGACTTCTCAACATGACAACAGTCAAAGCAACGAATGGGTTGGCACTGGCACTACAACATAATACAGGGAGACCAGTCTTCATATGTCATGAAGTCTTAGACACTTAAGGCGGAGTGTTGCGAAAGACTAAACAAACAAACAAACAAAAGAAAACAATCAAAAACAGCCAACGTGAGAGGATGAGGCGGAGCAAAGCCTTTAAGTTGGCCTTACTTGCTGGTAAAGTTGAGGCCTCGGGGCCGAGTTCTCAATCAAAGTGTGAGTCATGACGATTAAAGGGTCATTTTCCTTCATCTAGTCCAATGTGAAGAGGAGCAGTGGAGTCAGTTTACAGCAGTGCTGCACTTCAAACACAACACTTACAAAGCTCTTGATTGCTCTATTCCATCATTTTACGCATTGGCATAGACATGTTCATCCAGAGATGGACACAGCGCTACAAAATGAAGCTTACCAACAGGAAGACATTCCTCCAATGCAGAAGTGAAGCCGACAATGAGCGATGGCAAAAATCTAAGTCACGACAGGCTTGAATGCATCATTTGAAATGTTTTATGTGTAGCATTGCCGTCTGGAAATTCTCTCTCTCCACTTTGCAGGATTTTGAGGTTTTTAACATAATTAACAATATTTTTTTACATTTAACATTTTCACGCATGTCCAGTTATACTGTAGGTATATTATCAAATAACCAATAAACTCTGCTTTTTTTATGCCCTGTTTATAACACCATGTTTCTAAAGGCAATTTATGTATTTCAGTGTCATAGTTGTCTGACAATAAATGAACTGAGCACCACATATAGCTGAGTAAACTCCATTATTATAGACATGATAGTGTGTATACAGCCATAATAAAGTGCAGACAGTGTTATCAAAATAACCACAGCAGGTTTATGACCAATATTATATATATATA